TGTGGCGTCAAGGGCAAGGTGCCTGACTGGGATGCAGGTTTAAACCCAGCCAGACCCAAATACCCATAATTAGTGCATAGCATGCTGGTCATCCTGACACTGTAGATGTCATCAACTCACAACATAAATCCATACATTAGCATTGACAAAGACAGACACACTTATATAACCACTGAAGATCCTCAGATTATTTATATTCACTGCTAAACTCTTGGTGGTTGGAGTCCTCAGGACCCCAGTCGGGGTGCCAGGTGATCCGTTACATTGGTGGTAGAGGTGGGATGGCGTCCTAGTGCGAGGTAAGTGCGAGGTAAAGCAGGGCTACTAAACTGGTTCATGGATTGCGGGATAAAACTTACCAGGAAAGGTTAAAGGATCTTAACATGTATAGCTTGGAGGAAAGACGAGACATGGGGGATATGATAGAAACATTTAAATACATAAAGGGAATCAACACAGTAAAGGAGGAGACTATATTTAAAAGAAGAAAAACTACCACAACAAGAGGACATAGTCTTAAATTAGAGGGACAAAGGTTTAAAATAATATCAGGAAGTATTACTTTACTGAGAGGGTAGTGGATGCATGGAATAGCCTTCCAGCTGAAGTGGTAGAGATTAACACAGTAAAGGAGTTTAAGCATGCGTGGGATAGGCATAAGGCTATCCTAACTATAAGATAAGACTACGGACTAATGAAAGTATTTAGAAAATTGGGCAGACTAGATGGGCCGAATGGTTCTTATCTGCCGTCACATTCTATGTTTCTATGTTTCTATGAAACAAAATGTAAACAAAACCTGGCATTTGCGCTACATATCTGTCCAACCGTAATTCACCTCTTTCATATTAAATGCACCCACCCTTATTATATATCATTTTATTCAGGGGAAACAGGGATTTCATTTAATATCAAATATTTAGCTATGAAACATAATTTAATATGAAATAAATGGGAGAAAATAAGATTTTTTTTTATTTTTTTAGTTCTACATGACATTTTAACTGTCAATGTCATAATACTGTTTGCTTTTACTGCAATAAAATACACATATTTGTATTCAGCGATGTCTCACGTGTAAGACAGTACCCCCTATGTACAGGTTTTATGGCATTTTAGGAAGTTACAGGGTCAAATATAGCATGTTACATTTGAAATTGAAATTCGCCAGATTGGTTACGTTGCCTGTGGGACTTTATAGTAGCCCAGGAATGAAATTTACACCCATAATGGCAAAAAACACCAATTTTGGCCAGTGTTGTAAGTTGCTACTAAAAAAGACTGGACATACCCCGTTTGCAATACCTTGGGTTGTCTACTATTGCAAATGGTATGCCATCATAATTTTCATTCTTGGGCTACCATAGGGTCTCAAAGGCAACGTAACCAATCTGGCAAATTTTTATGTGAAAAAAATGAAACACAAGCCTTATATTTGACGCTGTAACTTTTGAAAACACCATAAAACTTGTACATGAGGGGTACTGTTGTACTCGGGAGACTTCGCTGAACACAAATATTTGTGTTTCAAAACAGTAAAAAGTATCGCAGCACACATCGTCCGTGGTAAGTGCTGGTTTAAAGTGGAAAATGCAAAAAAGTCACTTTACTGGCAATATCATCGTTGTAATACATTTTACTGTTTTTTTTTTTTAAATAACAATAAGGGGGGACCTACTGTCCCCCCCCGGCCCCCACCCCTGAGCGGTGGGTGGGGGCCCTAATAACAATACGGCCCTAGTCACCCCCCCAAAAAAAAAAATTATCTCCCTACCTACCCCCCTAACCCTAAAAATAATGAGGGGGGGACCTGTAAAAAAAAAATTAGATAAAAATAACTTACCACTGATGTTTCTCGCCGTTCCCTTTCGTTCCAAAAAGGCCAAATAAAAGCCGCTGTCCCACCACCAAACAAAAAACGTTTCTATCAAAAAAATAAACTTCACCCCATGAGTCTACAGACCGAGCTCTGCAGGGCGGGCGCAGCTTCCTGCCTCCTGCAATTAGGGTTAGCTAAGAACACTCTGATTGGCTGGTTAAGCCAAATGAGGAGTGTTTCGTCATTTTACAGCGGGGAAAATTAAAGATGATCGCTAGGTAGCGAGCACTGTGATTTCGGACACTGAATCCATCCAATCAATACAGTGCTCTGTGTCATTTTACACAGCGTGGGAAAATTTAACTTTTTAATTTTAGGGCCCCCACCCACCGCTCAGGGGTGGGGGCCGGGGGGGGACAGTAGGTCCCCCCTTATTGTTAATTTTAGGGCCCCCACCCACCGCTCAGGGGTGGGGGCCGGGGGGGGACAGTAGGTCCCCCCTTATTGTTAATTTTAGGGCCCCCACCCACCGCTCAGGGGTGGGGGCCTGAGAGGAGGAGGACTGTAGGTCCCCCCCTCATTATCTTTATGGCCCCCACCCGCCGCCCAGGGGTGGGGGCAGGGGGGGAGGACAGTAGGTCCCCCCCTCATTATCTTTATGGCCCCCACCCGCCGCCCAGGGGTGGGAGGAGAGTAGGTCTCCTCCCCCCCCCCTTCAACCAGAAAGAGTCCCTGTGGGTTTTAAAATTCGCCTGCCTATTGAAGTCTATGGCGGTTCACCTTGTTCGCCTGGTTCGCTAACATTTGCGGAAGTTCGCGTTCGCGAACCGAACATTTTCTGTTCGCGACATCACTATAGGCCATATGTATGAGTTACTATGGCGACACAGCCTCAGTTTATGTATGCACTTTATGCTCTGTGTATGAGTTACTATGAGGACACAGCCTCAGTATATGTACACACTATAGGCTCTGTGTATGAGTTACTATGAGGACACAGCCTCAGTATATGTACACACTATAGGCTCTGTGTATGAGTTACTATGAGGACACGGCCTCAGTATATGTATGCGCTATATGCTCTGTGTATGGGTTACTATGAGGACACAGCCTCAGTATATGTATCCACTATATTGTCTACGTATGAGTTGATCGGAAGTCTCAGCTCAGTTTGTGTTCTTTATTTGCTCTGAAAACATAGCCTCAGTATATGTCTCAACATGCTCTATATGTAAGCTGGTGTGGACATTGCTTCAGTGGATCTGTTCACTATATGCTTGATGTATTAGTGGAAACACAATATATGTGAATGATATAAGACACATCCTCTATGAGTCCAATCTAATACAGGTTTTTGTGTGGGTTATTAGTCACAACTTCAGTATATATGAGTGGTGTAATATGTGCATGAAGTTCTGTTGAAAACAGCCTCAATTTATCTCACTCATATAATCTTAATATGTGTACAGGCATAGTGTCACTGTATATAGCAGATATTTCTATTTGAACAGACTCAGTATATGTAACTGATATATCTGTGTATAACGTGCTGTTAGAAACATCCACAATGTGATTCATATAATCTGTATGCAGGTTGGTAGTATTAGATAACCCTAATTTATACACGGCATTGATAGATTTAATATATACAAATGATCTAAGGTCTGGGTTTTGCGCTGAAATGTAACACTGCCCAATTCTAGCAAATGCACTGTTGTACTGGGTAAGTAACTATTGCCTACTGTGGATTTTCTATTTCAGTTTTTAAAATGAAGTAGATAAGGACACATACTGCTTTTGGCTTTGTATTAGATTCCTTCTCCCACAGGTGTTTCGGGATAAGCAATTCATACATTTTACCACTTCAGATGGATTGCAGGTGTTACTGAACCTGTCTGAGTGCCTCTCCCAGGAGAGAAGGAGACCTGAATTTCCAAAATGGAGCATGGTACTGTTTAACAAAATTAAGGCCTTTTTTGTGTGCACTCCTATGTATTTATACATGAGACCATTTCTGAGAAGTTTTTCTATTGCCAAATATACTCTCCTCTCTTATCAAGATAGGGAATGTTTTGGTGGCAGTGTTTTATCTTCAGATATATACTGTTACTGATGCACAGCTTGGTAGATCATGCTTGTTGCAGGAGCACAAATTTGGCTATTAATCGTTCTCATAAGTAGGTAACTCTGAAGCCATTACCTCATTTAAAAGCTGTTCATATTGGCTTGTTTCTCTCCTGGTCTTAACTTTAGTATCATTTTATTTTTTCCGCAAACTTCTACTCTGAAGAATTCACTACTTCTGGTCTGGTTTGTGCTTTTTATTAAGTTTTTAACTCAGTTCTCTGGAATTGGTTTAACATATTCTTTAGAACTGAGTACCTTTCCTTAAAGCATAATCTTTATAATTTGGAGAATGTACTAATTTTTTATATGCAGTATTCTCTTTTATCCCTTGGGGACCTGAGAGTTGGGCAATCCCTTTAGGATATGTCAGGGGTGGCATGCTTTTGGTTCTTAAGGAATTAATGACAAGATTCCCCTGTTGTGAAAGGGAATATTATAATTTCCTTTCTGCAATTAAATGTATTCTTTTAGGCTCATACGATCCAGGTAAGTTTTCGATACTTTGTATTGCAAGTATTTTAATTGACACTGGAAGGTCTTTTTAGTCCCCAGGCCATTCTACCAGGCTTACTATTTCAAGTAAAATTCACCTGCTATCAGAAAAAGAGAGGAAATCCCTTAACAGGTAACTCCATTACAGTCCTCTCTTCTGATATTCATGGGGATTCTTCTAGGGGTCCTTATATCTGGAATTTGCAACCGATGTGTGGCTTTAAGTGGTTGATTCATCCTACATAATATAATGTAATGCAGCTTGTTGATGACAAACATTTGACTGATATGTTTTTCATGGTCTCTGTACCTAGATCGGTATAAGTTATGGTCACTCCTAACATTGCATTGATTTAATAGTTGTGGATTATATACTTGTATTGGTGTTGATATCTTGCAGATAATACAAACTGCTTATTATCGCCATAGGCTCTGCCATAGTACTTCTTCACTATCTGAAGATAAGGTAAGAGTAAGTATGCGGTTGTTTGTTCTCATAAGGATAACTGAATATCTTCTACTATCCTGCTTATTATGTGTCGGTTGCCACAATGGATCATGTGCCTCTGGTTACCACCTTCTCATCAGTATCCTGCCGATTACATATCTCCTACTTATGTTACACAGCTGTCTCTAATAAATTTGATTATACTGTTTGGCATAATCTGTACTATTTACAATGTTTCTTTGAATGTAGGTACTGATGTGGTTGGCCTACTTATAATTTAGGAGTTTCCACAAATTCTACGGTTAGTACCGATGTCTCTCTTTTTTTTTTTTTTTCCTTAACTAATCTGTATATGATTCTTCTTGCCCTTGCCTAGTAATGTCATTGGTTTATACCTCTCCTGTGGCTGATCATTACTGTATCAATTCATCCACGGTGTGATGTATTGTTGTGAGTCTGATTTTTTGCAATATATATATGTTTATATATATTCATTATTGCAGTGTTTTAATAACCCTTATTTCTCTACTAGGCTCTGCCTCTTTCTGACAGGCAGGTATTGATTTATTTCCTGTATCCACGGGTAAGTAGTTCACAAGGCAAGAGGAAGCAGTGTGAATCGTCATTAATAATTACATCCAGAGAGTTGTAGGATTCTCAGTGTAATTCTCGCCATGTTAAATAGCATGGTGTGTCTGTTCTCATCCAACCTTCTGTTGCCTTTTGTCAAGGTTCAGATCTGATGAGGTCATCAATTTGGTTTTAAATTTTATATCAAAATGGCATTATCCTTCTCTAACTTATGCTATCATGGCCTTAATTCCTATCTGACTCTATATTTATTTAGGATATTTCAGATATTGAATGCCAGGAGGTTGCTGACCTTGCAGCCTCTAGGTTAATTAACTTGTCTGAGCAGAATGTATGACATCCTATTGATGTCTTGTTTGGCTTTTTTAGAGTCTTCTAAGGTTTATGCCGCTCTCTAATGGTTTTATAGCTATTTGCTGTTTTTGAACTCTGTCCCTCCCTCTATATATACTACTTGGGTATTCCCCATGAGTAAATGCTGCCATGAATAATGTCAGGAAAAAAGGAAAATTTGCTTCATACTTACCGTAATTTTCTTTTTCTGATCATTATTCATGGCAGCATTACGTTCCCGCCCATATACTATAAGATGTGAAGCTAGTTACTAAGACTGCCTGATGGGAAGGGGGAGGATCTATTTATACCAGTTTCAGAGTTCTATTTCCTGTCCTTTCTGCTGTGAGGGGAAGAGCTAACCCATGAGTAAATGCTGCCATGAATAATGATCCGAAAAAGAAAATTACGGTAAGTATGAAGCAAATTTTCCTTTATATAGATATATAAAATTATGGATCCTGAGGAAGACCCAAACGGGTCAAAACGTAGATCAGCAACTTGTAACAAAAATTTCTTGGATGGATTAAATACCACTACTTGTTTCTAAAAAGACCTAAGAGTGCATCTTTATTTTGTATACTACATATCAGCGGGATTGCACCAAGGCATTTTAATTATCTACAATATCTGCAAGGGTGAGTGCCATTACATGTATATTATATATAATTGAAGATTATATTAGCTTTAGTGTACTAATAATCTTAATTTTAGTAATGACAGGAGGCGAATATTTGCATATCTTTCTTTACTGAAAACTCCAGCAGCATAGAAACAGTAACAACCAATCAGAGAAAAGATAAGGTGCCCATAACAGGCCCTGTCTATGACATCACTTCCTCTTTCTTTGAAGCGAAACAATAAATAACAACAAGAGACATAATCATATTACGTCAACAGTTCAACAACATATTAGAATATCCAACTCCAGTAGTTCCGCGATGCAGAGGTATGGAAGGTGAATCTTTGTCTCGATGAGAAGACGTTCACGCTGCAAGAAAAAGAAAAAGGTGAAAGGTCTCTGGCATGATAACTTTTCCGCATACAATAAGCATTAAGCATCTGATATACCAACAAACATTAGAATGTGAAACATATCAATGTATATTTATTCTAAAGCAATGATATTTAAGAATCTATAAACACAACATAATGCAAGGTTCATGTCTAATATTCAACCTATCCAAGATCCATAAGATACAGGTCTAAGTAGCAAACATACAAACCATACATACTTACCTTCCTGAACATAAAGGACATATTCTGTTCAACACGAGAAACATGGGAGGGATCCTATAGGGTGGGAAATATTCGCCTCCTGTCATTACTAAAATTAAGATTATTAGTACACTAAAGCTAATATAATCTTCAATTTTACCACATGACAGGAGGCTTCATATTTGCATTTTTAAAGCTTTGAATTGACCAATGTGAAGGAAGCATGAGATGTTTGTCGAAATAGAACGTTCTAAACGTACTCTCTCGCGCTCAGTCCGCGCAGCGTATAATGTCGGCTAGGGAAGCGTCGGCCGAAAAGGTTTGTGAGGCCGCCGCTCCCTGACCGAGTGGGCTCCGAAACAAGGTTCGACGCCCGCTAAAGACAATAGCCAGCTGACCCATCTAGCCAGTGTTGCGGTAGACACCGGTCCATGAGGGTTCACGTGAGAAGTCAGAAGGTGACCCGTCGAATGAGTTCGAAGGGGTAGAGATATCGGTGTACCCCATTAGCGTTCTGACCACGCATAGTGTGGCGTCTGACACAAAGTATGGGTATGACACTGAAGACGGATCAGACTCGACATGGTAAAGGTAACCTGTCTGGGTGAGAGAGAAACCATCCATATCGTAAGCCCTAACGTCCGCCACCCGTCTAAATGAGGTGAGGCATAATAAGAGGGCTAGTTTGGCTGAAAGTTTTTTCAGTGACAAACAAGGATTGTCCGGCCATACACTAAGGAATCTCAGTACCACATCCACCTGCCAGAGGCGTGAATACTTGGGTGCCGGGGTCTCGACAATTCGGCACCCCGTAGTAGTCAACAAACCAGTATATCTTGACCTACTGATCTGCCCTGTACCGGAACGTGTGCCGCCGATATGGCGGATCTGATCACGTTGAGGGGTCGATGTGACCGACCCAACGAGACCAGGTGTGACAGATAGTTGAGTATCAGTAGGACAGGTGCGGTAAAGGGATCAGAATCCCTTTCCACACACCTATCACTCCAGGCCGACCAGGCAGAAATATAGCCTTTCCTGGTGCCTGGAGCCTATGAGTCCCATAGGAGGTCTTAGTTGATGCAATAGGTCGTGAACCGACCAGGAGCCCCTGAAATCGTCCAGGCAACTAGTGCAAGTTGTCCTTCCATGACAAGGGAGTGGGCTTCCCCTCGAGGTCCCGTCGGAAGTAGAGGGAAAGGTAGGGAGTAGTAGTAGAGGGTCTTCGCGAGACATCTCCAGGCGATCCGGGAAACCACGGTTGGCCCTGTCCGAGGGGTGTCATGAGCAGGAGCGATATCTTGTGGGTGCGTGTGTATCGAAGCACCCTTGCTATTGTTGAGAACGGCTGAGTCACGTTTGTAGGGGTTCATCCATCGCCTCGTATCCGAAGGAAGAGTCAAAGATCGTTTTGCCAATCCAAGTTTGTATGTGAAGTAATCACCTTCGAAATTCCGTCCTCCCTTCTGCTGACAGTGGTATAAAGTGGTCGTATGAGTGACCGGTGCATACGTATCTCATCGTTGAATGGCCCTGTAGTTTAGTGGGCCAGGGAATATCGCTTGTATGGAGGAGGAGAGGAGGAGAGGAATCCCACAATCCGGCGAGTATCCTGAGAGGAATCGCATCCAACCTTAGAGCGTGTCTGACAGCTATCCTTATAGAGGCGCTCTTTGCCGTGGATTGATGCAGAACGTAGTTCTCCAAGCCGATGTAGAAACCGAGGAACTGGCCCGATTCAGATGGAGAAGCGATCTTTGTCTGTGTACTACAAAAAACCCATGGAGTCCCGAAAGTGAACGACAAATTGTCTGCAAACGTAGCCTGGATTCGTAAAGAGTCAGCAAGTCTTCAGGGTATACAAGGCATCGCACGCCCAAATTTACGGATGTGTGCCCTCACTGGTTTCAGTAGCTTCGCGAGCACCACAGAGTCGTAAAACTGCCATGTTTGTCCTTACCATTGGAATCGGAGGAAGCTTCGGCAGTCCAGGGCAACGGGTACTGACAAGCGTGCGTCCTTGAGGTCCAGATGTGTAAACCAGTCGTTACCGCTTAGGAGGTCCTGTAGAAGACGAATTTCCTCCAACTTGAAGCATTTGTATACCATGTAGGAGTTCCATTGATGTAGTCTCCTGGCTTCCCCTCCGGTGCATGTTGAATTGCGCCCTTCTTGAAGAGGGTGTGGATTTTCTTGTCCACGAGATGTTCCACCAGCGTGCGCAATGGAGGTGAAGGGGCGACCTGAACGGCTGTGATAAAAAAACTATATGACATAGTCTTGTACTGTCTGGAGAACCCAGGTGACTTTGGTAGTCTTCTCCCAAAACTGTAAAATAGAGACAGGTTGCCGGTCATAAAATTGGAAACAGAAAACAGAATGAGGTGTATCTAAATCATGATGCAAGATATAAGCATCAACAAAATTCCAGATAGCCACCAAATAGCCTACTAAAGAGGCCAGATAAAGCCACTAAATACAAAAATAATAAAAGTTTATTGTACAAAATAAATATGAAACCCAAACAAGTGCTACCATATACACACCCAAAAATAATTATCTCGTCAGAGATATAGGTGTAGTCAGAGACGAGCTAGGTGTAGCGAAACGCGCGCGTCAGAGGACTGGGGAGTGCTGCACGTGTTGGACCCTTCGTGCAGCACACAGACTGGCTACCGCGCTGTTTACCTCTTATATTTATTTATTCCCTATATCTTCATTTACTATATTTAATTTCTGCAGATCTTACTATTTTTTAGACGTACCTATTCATAGGACATCTGGGGGGTTGGAGCTAGGTGCCCTCGAAGGCACGGGATACATATACATATTTATAGAGGGTACTACTTAGACATTTTTGTCCTTTATATTGCTGACAACTCTCTATTGGTTTTGTGTGCTACCAAATAGATACTTTGTAGCACCTTCTATCATAACCTTTTTCTCATGTATTTCTCTCCCTTATTATATTCCCCCCAGACGTATCTTTATGACTTTCCCACATCGTCCATCCAGCTTATTAGCAGAATTTTTTCATGCAGGCTATCGCTCCATTACTCTAAATTCGTTATCCTATCAGTTTAATATCGATTTAATTACCTTATCTTTTCTTTGTTGGGATTTATTGACATTTAATATCTACCAATATTAGCTTTTGTTTAGCTATTTAGAAGATCTACTCTGTCCATTAGTATCTCATTCAAAGAGACAGACCTTACAATCGATCTACCTATTATTAGACCGACTTTTTAGTTTGGTTTATTATTTGTCACTACGGATAATTGACTCTCCATATTGATTCATACCTTGGATAAGACATATATGGTACATTATTCTATTATGGAGATTTAAAGTGCCAGATCCAATATAT